GGGCACAAAACATGTATTAGTTAGCTTGGGCTGCTATAAAAAATACCATAGCCTGAGTGGCTTAAACAATAGAAATTTATTTCTCAAAGTTCTGGAGACTGGGAAATCTAAGATCAAGGATGAGGAGGTTTGGTTTCTGGGTAGCAGACAGCTGCCTTCTCTCTGTGGCTTCACATAGTAGAGAGCTAGTGTGAGTGAGCAAGCTCTGGCCTCTCTTCCTCTTCTTATAAGGACACGGATTCTATAGGATTAAGGTCCCACCCTTAGAACCTTATTTAACTTTAATGGTCTCCAAGTAGTCACACTGGGGGTTAGGGCTTCAACATATGAATATTTTTTGGGGGGGCAGGGGGAACACAATTCAGTCCATAGCATTCTGCCCCTAATTCCCCAAACTCATGTTCTTATAACATGTAAAATACATTCATTCCATTGCAATAGCCCCAGAAACCTTAACTCATTCTGGCATCAACTCTAAAGTCTGAGGTCCAAAGTCTCATCTAAGTATGTATATCACTTGGGTACGACTCTGGGTATGATTCATCCAGAGGCAGGACTCCTCCAGCTGTGATCCCGGGAGACCAGACAAGCTATGTGTTTCCAAATGCAATGGTGAATAGGCATAGGATAGACATTCCCATTCCAAAAGGGAAATAGGTACGAATAAAGGATGATGGGTCCCATGCAGGCCTCAACACTAGACAGGCAAGTTCCATTAGATCTTATGGCTTCACAATAATCCCCTTTGGCTCAACATCCCACCTTCCAGGAGCCCTGGGTTGGCTGCACCTCGCCCTTCCTACTCCCCTCCTCCCCCCTCTCCCCCACACAAAGAGGTCTCTGCAGTGATGGCCCTGCCCTCTGAAACCTGGAGGAAATAGACTTGCCTCCTGGGCCTGTGGTCAGAGCAGCAGCCCTGATGATCTCTGAATTGCCTCCTTGTAGAGTAGTGCATGTTTACAACCAGATGATTCTATGGTCTGGTTCTGTAGAATCCAGGAAGTCCAACACCTGCCTTCATTCTGGCCTGTTTTCTCCGTCCCCTTTAGTTCAAACTGACAGTATCATGCTGGTATAATCCCATCTCTATTCCTGGCTTCTTTTGAGATGGCTGATTAAGTCCAGAAGTTGTCCCCATGATCTCTTGACCAAATGGTTGTCCAGCTATACCCTTAATGCTCTCTTCAGAGCAAGCTTTCTCACCTTCTGCAATATAGGTGGGCTGAGAATGTCCCAAATCTGCAAGTTTGGGTTCCTTTTTGTTTAAAAATTCTTTAATTCATCTCTTTCCTCTTCCATTTTACTATAAGCAGTAAGAGGGACCCCAGTTGCACCTTCAATAGTTTGCTTAGAAATCTACTCTGCTAAATATCCAATTTCATCACTTGCAAGTTCTGCCTTCTACAAAACACTGAAAGCACAATTCAGCCAAGTCCTTTGCCACTTTGTAACAAGAGTTGCCTTTCCTCTAGACCAGTGGGTCGAGACCCCTTTGGTGGTGGAACGACCCTTTCACAGGGGTCGCCTAAGACCATCCTGCATATCAGATATCTACATTGTGATTCATAACAGTAGCAACATTACAGTTATGAAGTAGCAATGAAAATAGTTTTATGGCTGGGTCACAACATGAGGAACTGTATTTAAAGGGCCAGAAGGTTGAGAACCACTGCCTAGACCAGTGATGGCGAACCTATGACACACGTATCAGAGGTGACACGCGAACTCATTTCTTTGGTTGATTTTTCTTTGTTAAATGGCATTTAAATATATAAAATAAATATCAAAAATATAAGTCTTTGTTTTACTATGGTTGCAAAGATCAAAAAATTTCTATATGTGACACAGCACCAGAGTTAAGTTCAGGTTTTTCAAAATGCTGACACGCCGAGCTCAAAAGGTTCGCCATCACGGGCCTAGACACTGGAGTCTAGAGCCTGGGGCTTCTCCATCAACTGCATGTGAGGACTCACTGCCCTGCCTGGCTCTTCCCTCCTGGGGCTGGGGTTACAGCTGCTGGTTATTTCATTTTAATCAGTAATCAGACTGTTAATACTTCCATTTGGTGTCCCGTTTTGTTTGCCGGGCAGTCCTGGGTGGTGGGAGATTAGCTGAGTTTTCTAGGGCTGCCATCACAAGGTACCACAGGCCGGATGGCTTGAACAACAGAAATGTATCTGAGATCAAGGGATCGAGGTACAATCTTCTGACGCCGCTCTCCTTGGCTGGGACGACTGTCCCCTCCCTGTGTCTGTATGTGATCTTCCCTCTGTGCCAGTCTGTGTCCATGTTCCTTCTTATAGACACCCATTCTATTGGATTAGGGCCCACTCATATGACCTTATTTAAAATTCTTTAATTATCTCATTACTTATCTGTTTTAAGACCAAACTCCAAATAAAGTCACATTCTGAGGTACCAGGGGTTAGCTCTTCAATATAGGGATTTTGTGGGGACACAACTCAGCCCAAAAAAGACGGTAAGCACTGTTCCCTCACTTTACAGCTGGGAAGTGAGACCTCGGGGCAGAGTCTTTCTTAAGGCCACGGAGTCACTGAGTCGGAGGCTGCAGCTGCAGGCCTTGGACGCCCAGTTCTCTCTCCACAGCAGGCCACGGCCACAGAGTGGCTGAACCTCCGCTTGTTGGGAGAGTGGGGTCTTGAGGAGTTCTAGACTTAGAATTTTATCATTGTTCTTGCACTGAAAGCGTAGTTTCTCCCGCATTTCCGGCCTTTTTTTTTTTTTTTAAATTGACTTCAGAAAGGAAGGGAGAGGGAGAGAGAGAGAGAGAGAAACATCAACGATGAGAGAGAATCATTGATCAGCTGCCTCCTGCACGTCCCACACTGGGGATAGAGCCTGAAACCTGGGCATGTGCCCTGACCTGGAATCAAACTGTGACCTTCTGGTTCATAGGTTGATGCTCAGCCATTGAGCTACGCTGGCTGGGCCCCACCTCCTGTCTTAAATTGGATTCCCCTAAAAGTAGGCCATGATTTATGGATTACTTGAGGAAAGGAAACATCAACAGGGGAGAGGGAAAGTGACACTCAGAAGGAAGCAGCCTATGAAAGATGCACGACTGACAGGTTACTGCTATGGGCAGCTGGGGCTCCGTCCTGCGGAGGCACATGCCCCAGAGGTGTACCTCCCAGCAGCTCGGGTCATGGACCCAGTCTCTTTAACCATGAACTCTTGATGGTCACTGGTTGAGAGCTGACCCCCTGGAATGTCAGTTCCTTCGGCACACCCTGGGGAAAGCCAGAGAGAAGTTTGGCTGGGCCTGCAGAGGGCTAAGACACTCTATTAGTTATCTACTGCTGTGTAACAAATTACCACAAACATAGCAACTTAAAACAACACATTTATTTTCTCAGTTTCTATGGGGCAGGACTTGAGCCTGAGCATGGTTTGGTTGGATCCTCTCCTTCAAGGTCTCTCTCAAGCAGAAATCAAGGTGGCAGTCTGGGCTGGGGTCTCAGCTGAAAGCTGGGCTGGGGAAGGATCTGGCCAGATGTCACCCTCAGTTCCTTGACACTTAAGTTTTCCTAACATGGCTATTTGCTTAAAGCCTTCAAGCCAAGAAAGCAATCAAAAGAGTCAGCTAGCACGGTGAAGAATCCTATGTAACACAATCACAGAAGTGACATCCCATCCCCTGTACTGTATTCTGTTAGTTAGGAGCAAGCCACGGGCCCTGCCAGCACCAAAGGGAAGGGAATTACCCAGGGCATGAACACCAAGAGGTGGGAACACTGTGGGTGTCTGTTACGCTGCCATCTGCTCCCTTTACAAATTATTGCTGCCCAGAAACAGTTTTGTAAAGATATTAGGAATAATTTTATTGCAAATCAATCAGAAAAGTCTGATTTTAGACTCGCCACTGGGGCCTAGCTAAATGTGATTTTTCTGGGTCTGACATGGAGTCTCCTATGCTGTCCTGCCCCTACTGAAAAGCCAAGCAGCGGGGACTCCGAATACCAGGGATCTTCCCAGCACAGTCGGCGGAGCCAACTATAGTGATAGTTTCTTTCATTGGGTTTCAAAGTGAGTTTGGACTTGAATGAGAGAGAACTTCAGGATCATCAACTAAAACTCCATCTAGGCAATTACTATGGAAATGAATATAATAAAGTCTTGTTTTCTGTCTGGCGTTTGAACGAGTCCTGAAGCCACAGGATGGTGCTACTCTTCCAGCACTCATAATATTCGGAAGTCGTATTCAGATGGCATCTGGGAGAAACTGGGGGGATTTTTATATTTTATGTTTTAGACTCTACTGGCTAGAGGAGCAGAATAACTTTTTTGGGAAAGGAGAGTATATTAGCCTTATCAACTTTATCAGTGTCTTGAACTAGTTCGGCTTCTAAAAGTCAGTATTTTGTCTCCTCCAAGAGGCCATGTGTGGGGTAGTGGTTAGGGCTCATAAGCTCTGAAGCCATAGTACTTGAGTTTGAATCCTGGCTCAGCCACCCACTCGTTGTGCAATCCTGGGCAAGTTACCTAACCTCTCTGTGCCTCAGTCTCTTCATCTATAAAATGGGGCAATAATAGTACCACCCTCAGAAGATTAAGTGAATACAATGCATGTAAAGCCCTGAGAACAGTGGCAGGAGCCAACAAGAGTTTTCTGTTATTAGTTTGAAAAATGAAATTACACACCAGGGAAATACATTTTTGAGTGATGGAAATTTATGAAACCTGCTATTTGTGGACTAAACAAAAATTCCCTACTCCCTTTTTGGGCTTTTATTTCAGAAAAGGGCCCACCATACCTATGATTTCGGGGCTCTGGTGAAGGGGTTTCTGACTTCCCAGATATTACCAGTCCATAACGATAATGCACAGCGAACTAAAGTGTGTCAATAAATACATCTCTTCCTGGTTCTGGCCAGACAGACTTCGGGTCCTGGTGGGTGAGTTGCTTGTAATTCTAGCAGATTTTGACATGAGAATGGGGAGAGTGCTTGTGGACTTAGTGATTCTGAGGATGAAATGAGAATGAGTGAGCAGCTTTGAGAGGAGAAGGAGCAGAGACTGGGGGGTGGAGGAATTGGAGGAGCTAGAGCAGAAAGACACAATTTACTCTGGCATCAGAAATGTTCTAGGGTTGCTGTGGCAGGCATTCTCTCTCTCTCTCTCTCTCTCTCTCTCTCTCTCTCTAGGAGCTTGCATAGAGTGTTAGCATGCAAAGGAATCACTAGGGATGCTTGCCACTAATACCGATTCCTGGGCTCACCTCCGGCGATTCTGATTCTGCAGCAGCATTTCGGTGGAGTCTGATGATTTTTATGGGGGTGTCTAAGGACTGTGGTGTCCCAGAACCTAGAAGGAGCAGAGGGACCGTAATCTTGTTGAGGGCAGTGACCGCTGGCTTTTCTGGAAGTTGAACTTGCCCTGAAATCACATTTTTAGAAACACTTGCAGTGAGAAGTGATTTAGGGGAGCTTTGGGGAGCTGGTGGAGATTATTGGGGTCTAAAGGCCTACGCTGCCACTTGATGTCCCTACTCTCTGAGAAATACTGCCAGGAGTACTAGAAATGTGAGCCGCCTTTTAAGTACTGTCATTTCACAGAGGAAGACAATAAGGCCCAGAGAGGTTAAGTAACTTTATTGAAGTCACACAGCTAGTTAATGACAGGTTTGTGACTGTGACCAAGTATTCTGGTTCTCCATCCAGCTCCCCATTCACTGAGTACCTGGTTCCTCAAGGCGGGGAGGGGAGAGAGGTGAGAAGAGGAGATAGTGAGAACTGGAGGGAGCTGGGCCCATCCCCCCAGAGGGTAGGGCAACAATGTTGTTCTCTTCAGAAACAGTCAGATTTAGGAGAGGGATCCTTTCGGCTTGGGATT